AAAAAATAGACAGAGACATAGAAGCATGGAATAGACTATGCAACCTATGAGGGAAGGCGAGGGGGGGATAAGAGATCAACCAAAGGACTTGTATGCATAGTGTCTGTTTGTGTAGGGCTACTGTCACCGAGACTGGAACTTAAAAGAAAAATAAGTCTCTTTCACAAAAGAAGATTTTTTAAAAAAAACTTTTAAAACTGTTTTCAACAAGTTGTGCTTAAAATTCTGTATTTTAGCCAGTCCAAAGACAATGAACTGATTAAGTGCTACATGTGAGAGGCCAAGTAGTTTAGTTTCCTATTGTTTCTTTAACAAATTCCCACAAACTTGGTGGCTTAAAACAATGTAAAATTATTATCTTACAGTTTTGGAAGTCAAAAGTCTAAAATGTGTCTCACTGGGCTAAAATCAAGATGTTGGCAGAGCTGCATACCTTCTGGAGACTCCAGGGAGAATGTTTCCTTGCTTTTTCCAGCCTTTAAAGCAGTGGTTCTCAACCTTGGCTGCACATTAGAATCACCTGGGAATCTTTTTAAAATCCTGATTTCTGGGCCTCATCCTCCGGAAATTCTGTTTCTTTGTTATGGGGTGGGGCAGCCTTGGGCAAACTAAGGCCTGCGGGCCGGATCCGGCCCGTTTGAAATGAATAAAACTAAAAAAAAAAGAGACCGTACCCTTTTATGTAATGATGTTTACTTTGAATTTATATTAATTCACACAAACACTCCATCCATGCTTTTGTTCCGGCCCTCCGGTCCAGTTTAAGAACCCATTAACAAAGAAACAGAATTTCCGGAGGAGGAGGCCCAGAAATCAGGATTTTAAAAAGATTCCCAGGTGATTCTAATGTGCAGCCAAGGTTGAGAACCACTGATCTAAAGGCTGCCTATGTTTTTTTTGTTGTTGTTGTTCACGGCCACCTTCATCATCATCTTCATCTTCAAAGCCAGTAAAGGCAAACTGAGTCTTCCTCATGCTGCATCACTCTGATTCTTCTGCCTCCTACTTCCATTTTTAAAGACCCTTGTGATTATATTGGGCCTATCCGGAAAATCTGGATAATTTTTCCATCTGAAGGTCAGGTGATTAGCAACCTTAATTACAGCTGCAACCTTAATTATCCTTTGCCTTGTAAGGTGATATATCCACAGGTTGCATGGATTAAGACAGACATCTTTGGAGGGTCATTATTCTAGATGCTGAGCTTTAACAGAACAGTCAAATGTTACTTATAGCATCTGTCTAATCATCCATCACTTCTAACTCTTCTCTTCTCTACACCAGCCATCACATGAATGTTTCCAAAGGTTTCAGGCCTATTATAAGCTATTTGTTACTCAGGTAAATATGTTAAATAGATCCAGTCCCATAGATTACATTCTACTTCCAATTGTTTTCATTTATTTCTTCAATCTCCTGAAATATGGGGAAAGGTCTCTTTTAATTATCCATTACTATGTAACAAACCACTCAGTGGCTTACAAGAATAAAAAATTTTGCACACAAACCTGAAATTTGGGCAGGGCTTGATGAGAACAGCTTGTCTCTGCTTCACTTCGTGTCAGCTGTAGTGGCTTAAAGGTTCCCTTACATGTTTGGAGTTGAGGCTGGCTGCTGGACTTCCTTCCTCACAGCAATGCATCTGTGTTCCAAGGACAAGCATCTTAAGAAACAAAGATTCCACTTCTTGATGAAAGGTGGCAATGTTTGTCAAAGCTTCTCTGTAAATTTTCAATTTCTCCTTTTCATTTTCAGTCACCTCTTTCTTCTACTCTTATATAATTGCCCCCTTCATCTTTTGTTGTCCCATACAACTTCTACCTCAAAATCAGGTTTACCAAATAATACTTTCATAAGGTGATGGAAAAAGACTACAGTATGCCCACAGAGGAACATCTAATTGCTGGAATCAGGAATTATTCAACCATCTTGGACTGACAAAAATGGCAATATCATGCTTCAACTTAATATTTGCTGTCTTTCTAGTCAAAGAAAAAGGCCTCACAACCTGCTATCAGAAGCGAATGATTACCTCCCCACTCCTGGGTGTGTCCCAAAACATACTTTGCCTTTCTCCACCACTCCCCTTATCATGAAGAACCAGGGACAGTGGAGTGACATTTTGTAAATTTGGAAAGACTAAATTACGCAGGCTTCTCTCAGTACCTCCCTTTTCCCACATGGGCCCATTCTGGCTGCAGGGAGTGGGCCTTTTCCTCTGCTCACAAACCAACTGGAGGGGAAGGGCTACTGTTTTCTGAGATTCTACTTAGCCCTCAACACCTGAGTTAAACATCTAAATTTCTGGAACTTCCTCCTCCAAGCATTTAAGCTATGAAGAAATTATCAACAATTACATATCACAACAGATACTAAATTATACCCCCAAAGCATCCATGAGTTACAAGCTGCAATGTCAATTACATGCCACAAAATACTACACCTTGTTTTGAATGACTAAAGTACACTAACTACACTCCTTGCATTCTACACATAGTTTCACTACTACAGATCATATGTGTGTTCTTTCATAATGTGTATGTTTTGTTTTGTTTATTTGTTGTTGTTTTTTTAAAGCAGGGCTTAAAATTAATGTCACATTGTAATCAACTGGAAAATGTTAAAGACTTTGGTCAGAACCAACAATGTAGTACTTTCATTTTCATATTTCCTTGACTACCAAACAGGAATTCTCCTCAATTAGATGTCTGCTAAGAAAAAAATGCCATCATCCAAGGACACAGCAAGTTCTGTCAGGTATTACAACATGGTGGAAGAATAGTCAGGTTTTAATTGGCCCTATTGAGCTCACCCACAAGCTACAACGTTCTTTACCTCAGCAGTGTGGTATTCAAAAGGAAAAAAAAAAAAACTACAAAGTTGGTTTCTACCTTTGAAAACATCAAATGAATCATGTCCAGTTTCATCCTGTTAACTGAATGCTGATTGATAAAAGTGCACATATCAACACTTAATAAGATTGGTATTGAAGAGTAAAATAGATTCTAAAAAATACCCTACCCCTCAACATTCTTTACTTAGCTTGCTAAAATAAAGATCTGGGATTTATGTTTCCCTAGTATTTTCTCAGTCTTCATATCTGTGTTAGAAGGCACTTTATATAGACAGTTCAAGGTCAAAAGATTACCTTCTATTATCATGTTCTCAGTTAAATTATAAGGACTTTCTCCAATCAAAAATTTGTGACGGTAACAAACTATTTTTTAAAGATATAATATTAGCCTTAGCTGGATTGGCTCAGTGGATAGAGCGTCGGCCTGCGGACTGAAGGGTCCCGGGTTTGATTCCGGTCAAGAGCATGTACCTTGGTTGTGGGCACATCCCCAGTAGCGGGTGTGCAGAAGGCAGCTGATCGATGTTTCTCTCTCATCGATGTTTCTAACTCTCTATCCCTCTCCCTTCCTCTCTGTAAAAAATCAATAAAATATATTTTTAAAAAAGATATAACATTAATCAAACTATTGCAATAGGAGGAATATTCATTAATGGTAAACATTTTATTTTATTTTATTTTTAAATCTTTATTGTTGAATACAATTAAAATTCTTACCAGTTTGAGATTATTGAAGTTGGGTACACCAACAGGTAAATTTTCAAAACTGCTCAACAAAGTGTTCTGAAACAACAAACAAAGAACTAATAAAATATGAGAACAGGAATAGAAAGTTATGAAAAAAAATGCTTCTCTTAAAAATAGAGAATGCCCAAACAGGAAGGGTTGATGAGATAGTTGTGGTTTTAGGAGGCCTTGTTTAACAGATGAACAACTATTATTATTATATCAGCTTGAATTTTGATGCTAAAAAGAAAACAGCCAACAATAATTTAAAAAAAGAAGATGAAAGAAAATTTGAGGAGGTAAAATCTTTATGGTTTTATGGAAGATGTATTCCTTGAGTCTTCATTATCATCACCACCACTGAAGCACTCACTGAATAGCAAACAGCTGGAAAAGCTCTGTGTACAGATGTGGTTTTCCTTTTCTTTAGCCAAGACTTTATTAATTAACTGGCATACTTTCAGTGGAGCACAGAGACTCCTGAAGACTGTGGGAAATAGGGAGAAAACCCATGGAATCCTCATTTGCCAATACTGAACAAGACCTTAAAATAAAGATTGAGCTGCTTTCACCTGTCATTTCCTTTCTATGGGCTTTCAAACCCTTTGTTCATTCTAAAACCCAGGGGTTCCTCCAGCCTACACTTTGCCCCCTTATGGCCCTTTATCTCTCTACCCAATCTCCATCCTTGGACAGCTCAGTTTGCTTGTCCAAGCCCTGTCCACCATCCAAGCATGTCCACCACCAGGAGGATAATCTCAGGACAAATGCCTAGGAAGTCCCTGGAACAGGCTCAAGGCCATTTAGATAGGGAACTCTGAGGACCCAGGTACCCAAGTGTGCTCTACAAGTAGGGGCTCAAGCTCTGGGCCTTCCCTTGGCTATAAAGATTCCTTGAACTATGGGGAGTTACAAAGCTTTACAAGAGTTAGCATGGGAGCCCTGTAAAGTGGGGGAGGGGAGCAGGGAAGGAGCTCTGGTTGTATGAGGCAAAGGATGGTACTGGCTTCCATTTTAAAAAATGGTTATTGGTAGTAGACCACCATAATATCTACCACTTATCAGAAAGTTCTACCTAGTTCAAAATTAACCAACTGGAGGCCTAATAAAGTATTCAGAGTAACTCAAGAACAACCTTTACATTTCCCTGAATTATTAAAAAATTGGACACGACTTAAAAGAAAAAAATTAATAATTTTAAGTTTAAATTATGTTGCTAATTAAAATAATTTAGTCTGATCAGAAACTACATAAAGTTTGAAATTTTAAAAAGACTAATCATTTTAAGAGACCCATCCAATAGACTACATGATTAAAGTTTTCATAAGCTCCTGATTCAGATTTTTTTTTATTTGGGGTAACATTTTTATTGGGGTTAAAAATTGCCTCCACAATTTTAAAGAAAACTTTGTTTTTGTCATTATTTACTACAAAACTCTTAAAAATAAAGTACACAGGCTGTAATGTTATAAATGTACTAGGTATCCCCTTAAAACATAATTTTTAAAAAAAGGGTGTATGATATAAGATTGGCGCCATCCCTCCACCAGAGCTGTATCCAATTTGCAAACATCTGAAAACCACAGAAGAAAGGGAAGCAGGTAGGGTAAGGGGCAAGGGGTGGGGAGAGAAGGGGAGACACTCT